AGGGAAGAAGCATCGGGACAAAATTGAGTTTTTGAAGGAAAAGGGGATGTGTTTTGGCTGCCTGTGTAGTGGACACAGGAGCAAGGATTGCGACAGGTGCTTAACTTGCAAAGATTGTGGTCAGAACCATCCTACGGTGCTTCATATCCCTGGAAAGATAAGAGCCAGCACAGGAAGTGAACCCACTAAGGGCACAGCACACGCTAAATCACCTGTATCAGAGACTTGTGGACATACAGGGGCCGGAAAGGAGGATAGCATTTTGTCTATCGTGCCAGTTCAGGTGAAATCCATCAGGGGAAGCAAGATAATACAAACATATGCATTCCTGGATCCTGGCAGTACATCTACTTTCTGCTCAGAACATCTTGTGCAAAGGCTGAACATTACTGGTGGGAAAACCAGTTTCCTTTTACACACTATGGGGCAGGAAAAGGTTGTTTCAACTAGCACCCTGAATGGTTTGGAGGTGGCTGGTCTTGGCAGTAACAGCTTCTACAGTCTCCCAGAAGTGCTTACACAAAATAAAATGCCGGTGACCACCAGTAACATTATCACACAGGAAGAATTGCAGAAATGGTCATATCTCTCTGATGTACGGATCCCATGCATTGATGCTAATGTTGACCTGTTGATTGGCACTAACACCCCTAAGATATTGGAACCATGGGAGGTCATCAACAGCAGAGAGGATGGCCCATATGCAGTACGAACTGTACTTGGCTGGGTAGTTAATGGTCCGCTTCGGGATGGAGAGAGCAGCAGGCCTAAAACAGGGTTCTCAGTGGCTGCTGTCAATAGGATTTCTGTCTGTTAGCTGGAGGAAATGCTTATCAACCAATACAGTCATGACTTCAATGAGCGAAGTTCAGAGGAACAAGATATGTCAAGAGACGATATGAGGTTCTTAAAGATGATGGATGAGTCAACACAGCGGCAGGATGGACATTACAGCTTGAAAATGCCCTTCAGAAAGGACCAGCTCTCGCTTCCTAATAACCTCTCTATGGTTAAGCAAAGGCTGCTGGCATTAAAAGGGAAGTTCAGGAAAGATGAACTCTTCCACAAGGAATATACCAGCTTCTTCACTGATGTAATTAAGAACGG